ATATTATCATTAGACCACAGTTAGAACATATTTTCTAAAATACAAAGTCTTGATTTTGCAGAATTAGATTGTTACTAATTATTTTCCCTTTTCGTTATTTTTTTGGGGTGGTCTTTTCATTTTGCATTTCTAAGTTAACGCCTTTACATAGTACAGAACAGCTTTATGCCAAAGCTAATGGTGCTGTTAGGTGAGCGCACAAATAGGGAGCTGGTTCCGAACAACAGTAGGAGTCCATCAGGGCTGCCTCCTCTCTTTTAATATCTTCTTAGAAAGAATTATGACTAATGCCCTAGAAAAACATAATAGTATAGGACGAACTGTAACAAACTTGAGGTTTGCAGATGACATCGATGGGTTGGCCAGGAGAGTACTTTAGCTAGTCTAACTCGTAAACTTGCTTGATAAAACATCGACTAAGTATAGCATGGATATAAATGCGAAAAAGACTAAAGTCTGGCTCTCTAGCGTAGTTGGCTAAACCGGATTGCACGGAGACCGGGTGACGAACTCCTTGTGGTCCGGGTTCAATCCCAGGGGTAGACAGGAAAGCCACATTTTCTCCCAGTGGAATCAAGGCCGAAAGGTTGCGATATCCATGATACCGAGCCTAAGGGTTAACAACTCATGGCTTCTGGATACTAAAACAAACAAACAAACGAAAAAGACTAAAGTAATGACTAATAACTTCACCAATCTACGTAAAAGGTCACACATTTGAACAAGTCAATCATTTCAAATATTTTGGATCCCTTTTAAAGTGACCTAGTGTCAAGACCAGAAATAATGTCTAGTAATGCCCAAACAACATCAGTCCTTGCCAAACAGCAAAAAATTATGGAGATCCACAAACACCTTATGTAATACTAAGCCACAACTGTTGAGAGCACTAGCTATATGTACATTTACATATGGTTGTGAAACATGTACCTTAACAGCTGAACTCGAAAAGAAGATACAAGCATTGGGAATGAGATCTTTCAGACAAATTCTTGGCATATCATACAGAGACCACATACGAAATGGCAAAGTTTGCTGTATGATTCCCAGCACATTGGCAACTAAAGTTCCCTTTTCATGCCTTTCGGCGCATCCGGCATATGGGCAGAGCGTCCCATATTTTTACAGACCATCAGCACTCTGTGGGTAATGTGGTCAGCATTACGCCGGCTGTCTTTACTTTCCCAGGACAGCCCATCCTGGTACCCATTTTAGGCTGGGTCGACCTGCGACGTCCCCATACCACGACAAAAATACCACGCAGCCTGCAGTGGGTTTCGATCGCGGTATGCTGGCTTACGAGTCGGACTCGCAACGCCTTAGCCACGGCTATTGGCAACTATGAGCCTATTTTAACTACAATGTAAAGACAGAAAATGCAAGAGTAGGGACATGTGATAAGTATTAACAGCTTTCAAAAAAAATACTACAGGGTTCAGTAGAGGGGAAGAGGATAAGAGGCAGACCAAGAAAGACATGGATAGAAAACTTGACTGTCTAAACAAGCCTTAGGCATAAAACCAGGAAGTTCATTGCATCTGAGCATCAAAAGTGGAGGGAGCTTATTAAACAGTCAACAGCAACTGGTGACCCAACGACACGCGTTATGGGATGATGATGATGAAATAATACTTAGCGTGGTTTTATTTAATAAGTATTTTAATATAGTGTTTTCTTTCAATGTCAGATGTTGAAATTTTTTTTTGTACTGCAACTTTTATTTGCTTTTATTGCCTCATATATTTTAAATAACTCTTTGTCTTGACAGGCTTTGCTACCAAGCAGCTGAAGCCGAAACAGGCCAAAGATACTTGTAATGTTCTGTATCCGGGGATGAACTTCAACTGCTCAGTGAATTTATTGCCTCTGGGTATGCTGCATCAAGTGAGTCCTTGTGTATGTTATTTTGGTTTTGTATGCACTGATCTTTAAACAGTTACCACATTATTTTCCAGGAAACTCGACTTGGAAGCCAAAAATGAGTCCTTGAGGAAGAAAATAGTGGATCCTGGGCCAAATTGTTGTAGAAAAGTTCTCAGAATACCATGGACGAAGAAAAAGAGTAATACTGACATACGGCAGATTTAAAAAAAAATAATAGCAGACAGCATGGTACAAGAAACAGGGGCACAGGATATAAGTGATACCTTAGGTAGAAAGTGCACAGGGTGAGAGATCAAGTTTCTTCCAGGCAGACAATGATGAGAGCGATGGTTCTAAAAAAGAACCTGTTACATGAGGATTATCACTGTATAAACAGAGGCCTACTCCTCCTCCTCTTCTTCTTCTTCTTCTTCTTCTTCTTCTTCTTCTTCTTCTTCTTCTTCTTCTTCTTCTTCTTCTTCTTCTTCTTCTTCTTCTTCTTCTTCTTCCTCCTCCTCCTCCTCCTCCTCCTCCTTCTCATCTTCTTCTTCTTCCTCCTCCTCCTCTTCCCCCCCCCCCCTCCCCCACGGACCACAATTTCATTCATGTTAGCCTAGTGTTCTTCTTAAGTGAATTCTTGTTATTGAGGTTTTACTCTAGTAAGTTTAGTTTCTTAATCAATTTAACACAATTTTACCTCTTCTGGGTGTCTCAAGTATTTCGTTTCTAATGTTATTTGAATTGTAAAATATGACAGTGAACATTGGAGAAGAACTAAAGACGTGGAACAAATGTTACACGTATTTGAAAACAAATACCTGAGGAGAATGTTGAACATAAAATGTGTTGAATCCAAAAGGGGGGTGGGGGTGAAGAAGACAAAAGAAGATGGCACTATATTGGACACATCCTGAGAAGAAACGAGTAGAGAATCAGCAAACAGGCACTAAAATGGGAAATAAAGGATTGAATAAGCGAGGATATTCACAAGAAACCCTAAAATGAACATTGATGAGAGAGGTCAAAGTTGCTATGCTGGTTTCCATCGGTGATATGGAAGGGATTGCACAGAATAGAAGGGAACAGAGGAATAGATTCCAAGCACTGTGAGCTAGGTGGTTTTCCTTGGTACAGGACCGGAGCAACTATGGGGTGACCCATTTGCTATAAGGCTGACATATAATTGTATAACAGGACAGTGGTGATTTTCTTAGTTGTTACTAAATCTGATTATAATGTTGTAGTTTGTAATTTATTCTTGACTCTTTTTTTCTCCCCTTCATCTCAGACTTCCAACCAAGCAAGCAATTCAGATTTAGTTTCACTGCTGCAGTTGTTGGTCAGACCTGGTAGGTCACTGTACATTGTGTTATGACGTTGCAGGATTCAGTGTGTGGGCAGGGCAGACAAACTTTTGAATTAGATGAGTTTTGATCAAGTGCAGTAGGAACGTTAAGTCACATTGAGAAGTGCTTTGAGGTACTGCATGAAATGGTTTGGAACGCTAGTTGGAGTTTGGTGGAGGCAGAGGCCGTGGATGTTTCAAAAGATACAGTCAGTGTTGAGTTATACCGTACATTTCAATGTATAAGTCGATCTCATGCTTTTTAGCTGCAAATTCTTTGTTAGGCCTATACCTGTCTGTCGAGTATATCCACCATATATATAAGTTGACCCCTAGTTTTGGAAAGATTTCTTTTAAGGTTTAAAACTCGACTTGTGTGCTCAACTTATGGTATGTGCCAAAGGGTTCAGTAAGTGTTGGAATAAATGTGTGCAGGAGTTAAAAAAATTGTTGATTTCATTTATTTAAAAAGTTAAATGTGAAGAATTGTGTTGGGACAAAACATATTTTAGGAGAGCTCATTTAGTACTAGAAAATCTGTGGTAGTCAGAAGAAATTTAATCAAGCACCAAATTCCCAAGTCGACCCAGCCTTAAATGGGTACCGGGTGAAGTCCCAGGAAGTAAAGGCGGTTGGTGGGAGGTAGATCACATCACCCAATAAGTAATTATTGGTCTATAAAATATAAGACTAAGCACTTCTTCTTCTTCTTCTTGACGTCCTCTTTTACCGCTTCGGGTGTCAATTGAGATATAATGTCCTGCTTCTTGCTCTTCTGGCTGCTTCGACCATAGACATATCGTAGTGCTATAGAGTTTCTTTAATATTATTAGATATCTTCTTCCCATCTTGTTCATTGTCTACCTCCTGCTCTACCTCTTAACCCTGATATCAAGTCTGTACTGCTGTCTGTAGCAGAAAGATGGAGATCAGAGTTCAAACTTTATAGCACGGGTCAGTTCATAGTTGCTCCATTCCTCTGCTAGCGAAAAGCACACAGTGTCCATCACTGGCCCTTGTGAAAACAGTTGACACAGAGAGTCTCAACAAAGCCGATAGCATACATACACATTAACTAGATAACGCTGCTGTCAGAAATGCCAACACAAACATGCCAACATGTGAAATACATTTCATCGTCGTTGGAAGCAGCAGTTACCATATTTCAGTAGTTGCACACATAATTAATTGCATAAGGCACCACCAGCTGTCTGGCAACAAGCTCGCCATTTTCTGAATCTGCAGTGCACAACACAGACCATGTTAGGACCAGCTGAAAATCATTCCAAATGAAATCCACAATGTCGCTCTATGCACTCAACTTAGTAGCTGGCCGGCGGAGCTATATCTTTTTATTCCACATATGGAAGAAAATGCAACAGCTAACTATTGTCAGAAGCAGAAGCTTTCCACCACAGAAAACAGTAAGCCTGCCTAGTCAATGTGTTGACAGGAAGTCAGCAGAAAGATGGGGATCATCTGAAATGGCAACTGATACACTACAAACAGATTAACTGGTGCTTGTGCAGAATAGAGCAGATTGAATGATGTGAGTGATTCACTAAGTTTAGCTTTAGGAGAGCTAAAAATTTTTAGTGGATCAAAACAGGAAGTCAAGGTGTCTGCACATGCACACACACATCCACATACCTTTTTTTGTGTACAAGCTATTTTATTATTGTGATTTATCCTGGCTTTAATCTTTTTCTTTTAGTGTAGATTATTTTGTTTTATAACATTTCACCATCTTTATGTGAACGATGTGCTTTAAAAAAGTTTTTTTTTTCTCCAGATTTAAAAGCTTTCATTGATGTGTACATTTGTTCCCACTGTGGCGGGGAATTTGCTTCTAAGCCAAAACTTCAAAATCACCAGAGAAATTGTCTCCTGAGATCAGCAGAGCTTCAACTGGCTACGCCCATGGAAATTGCTCAGTGGCATTATCAATATGGCTGTCTGACCCCACCTCGCTCTTCTGCTGCGCTGCAAAACAGCTCACGACTGGGTGACTTTAGGAGTCCTAGCACCACAAGGGAGCCGGTGACTTATCCCAACATTTGGCAGTCTAAAGAAAGTTTTATTACCGCCCTGGGACTGCTACCTAAAAAGAAGGCAGCACAAGTCTGTAGCCAAAGAAGGAATACGCAGTGTGAGAGTATTGACTTGGATGATGATATTCCCTTGTCCCCTACATTACCTCGAACTCCAAAACTTCTCATATCTCACTTAAGTCGTGACGGAAGTGAAAAGTGTGGGGATAATTCTCCATCTCGTGTCAAAAAGTCACTGTTCTCGTCACAGCCTAGCCAGACTGACGAAGAGGTCAGCAGCAAGAAAAACGATAACACAGAAGGAGACAAAAGTGAAGAGAGAAGTAAAATATCACATGCAAAATCGTTATACAGCCTGGATTTGACCTCTCCGCTGGGTCAGTTTGTTATTAAGCACATTAAGGGAGATCCTAATCTCCATGTCCTGTCAGATGTGGAGAGCCATTGCTTGACCTCGACACCAACAGTGATCACACCGGCTATCAAGTTGAGAGACAGGCACGTAACATATCCTATAACGTTTAAAGGCTTTTCAGGGAAAACCAACTCTTCCCACATACACCTGTACAAATTTACCCGCAGGCAGAAAGTGGAATTTCTTCATCGTGTTAACACAGGACTGGACAAAAGCAGCAGGGCGTTGCTGAGGACAATGAAAAAGTGTCAGGTGATACTGGCTCATCTGACCAAGGCTGATCTAAAGAGGTGGATGGTGTCCAGCCTTGATGTCACAGTGGACTTGGAACCTCTGTCAGCAGCGGAAATATTCTTCTGGACATCTCCCAATAAGGTTGCAGATACAAACTGCAACAGTCTAGCAGTGTTTCCTCGTGGGCTGAGTTTCTCATCTCCAGATGTGAACAATGTTCTGGGCCTAAAAACATGCCGGGATGGTAGGCTGTGTAGGAGGTACCACCTTTCTGTGGCGAATTATGTTTCTGAAGAGGCATGTGCTGAAGAGACAGAAAATAGAAGAGCTGTCTATAAAAGCTTGCTGTCAGACACTGGGATGTCAGAACCTGCAAGTGCTCCACCGTCTGTGTCAGCTCTAAGGCTGGCTTTAACCTCTCCTCCTTTATATATAATGCCTGAAAGGCAAGTACATTCTTCACTAGGTTCTGCAGATTCAGAAGTTCTAATGGGCAGTGTTTGTACATCATCCCGATCACCAGCCTCCTCATCTTCAGTAGATAAGAGCAGTATCAAGGAGGAAACCCAGCACTGCATTCTTTTATCTGTTGATACAGGCTCTGACCATCCAATGGGTGCAGTGGTTAGTGAATTTACAATAGAACCGGGACTGTTGAGCGGCAGTTCGAACCCAGTGTCGGGAGATCAAACTGACAATCTGGTGACACTAAGGTCTCTTCTATCAGCTGCTAATTGTACTTACATACGGACTGCTTTGGAGGGGGAAACTATACAGAATTCAGCAGCTAACTATCAGAAAGTAGGTAAAGGTTCACTTAAATGTACTCAAGCAGAACAAAGAACTGCTGACAGAAACCTGTTGGTGAATAGCAAATTTCCCCTGAAACCAGTTGTTATACAACAGTCTTCTATGATCAGTGCAACAAAGAAGCGTGGTTTAAAGACCACTGATTCTGTAAAAGCAAAGAAAAGAAAAGTGAGCACCCCACCATCTGTAATTGAACATTCACAGAAACATGGTCATTCTCTTTTAGCAACTGCTAGAAAAACAGGACAGGATGTTTCTCAGCGAAAATCAGGAAACAAATACATCTCTCCTGCAGCAGATAGAACAGCAGCTGGCTGTGCAGCCATATGTGTTGATTCAAGATTATCCATGCATTCTACATACTCTGGTTCTGAGAAACACATCAATCCTCCACAGTTTTTGAAGGTTGAAAGCACCCAGAACCAGCTAGAGCCTTTTAACTGTGATGCTTTAAATCAAGGAGTTGGTCAGCAAATCAAGCAACAAGAAAATGGTCAATGTTCAGGCTGTTACAGAAGACAAATCACTGTTGCTTCTTTCTTGAATGGTAATGTAGAAAACTGCCACAGATGTATTGTGTGCCAGCACACAGTTACAGACAGATCTCTGCATGAAAAGAAGCTACATCATTCTCTGCAAGTAACAAATGGAAAGCGAATACGTTCTTCAAAGCTCGATAAACATACTGCAAAAGATACAGAGACAAATCTTACTATTAAGAAGCCTAGATATATTTCTCCCTTGTGTGTTGGGGATGGAATCGAGAGGACGAACAGAATTGAAAGTAAAAGTGCAGTTAATAGCAGTATTAGCAAGGTTGTTAAAGTAACAAAGAAATCTTACCTTCCTGTAAATGCATCATTAGAAATGTCATCTGAAAAAAATGCTTCACCTCACAGGCTCAGAATTGTTTCCAACTCCTTGCCATCTTCCCCTCAACTGCGACAGTCATCCCTTATCAATACAATTTCAATACCTCGCAAGGCAGAGGTCAGGAAAAGCATGTTGTCATCATTTCTGCTGAAATCTAAGTGAGCAAATACTTGAACATTGGTTATGAGTAACATGTTTCTCTTGAGAGGCTCAGATTTGTTTCACACTCTTTGCTGTCATCACCATAATTTTCTTAGTCATGCATAGTCAGTAGTTTTGGTTCTTCACAAGGCGGAGGTCAGGAAAAGCATGTTGTCATCATTTCTGCTGAAATCTAAGTGAGCAAATACTTGAACATTGGTTATGAGTAACATGTTTCTCTTGAGAGGCTCAGATTTGTTTCACACTCTTTGCTGTCATCACCATAATTTTCTTAGTCATGCATAGTCAGTAGTTTTGGTTCTTCACAAGGCAAAGGTCAGGAAAAGCATGTTGTCATCATTTCTGCTGAAATCTAAGTGAGCAAATACTTGAACATTGGTTATGAGTAACATGTTTCTCTTGAGAGGCTCAGATTTGTTTCATACTCTTTGCTGTCATCACCTTAATTTTTTTAGTCATGCATAGTCAGTAGTTTTAGTTCTTCACAAGGCGGAGGTCAGGAAAAGCATGTTGTAATCATTTCTGCTGAAATCTAAGTGAGCAAATACTTGAACATTGGTTATGAGTAACATGTTTCTCTTGAGAGGCTCAGATTTGTTTCATACTCTTTGCTGTCATCACCATAATTTTTTTTAGTAATGCATGGTCAGTAGTTTTAGTTCTTCACAAGGCGGAGGTCAGGAAAAGCATGTTGTCATCATTTTTGCTGAAATCATTAACCCTTTTAGTCTCAAACAATGCATGATGTGTTACTGACTAGTCCCGACATATCTGAAACATCACATTAAGTGTATTCATGTATTTAAATTTTGGTAAGAGTAAACTAAATAAATCTGGCAACCACAGGGGTATCTTTAATATATTTTTCATGGCCACAACAAAGCAAGTGGTAGAGTTTTTATGGCAGTATTTAAAGAAGAAAGTAATGATTTTTGTACAAAACCTTAAGGGACCAAAGGAGTTAAGTGAGAAAATATGTGACTATTCACACAGTTGATGTTAGGATGATCTTTCTACTTTTGATGTTCACGGACTGTAAACTCTGGCTGGTGGAAATTTCTGGTTGTTTATCCACTTCTGGATTTTAGTCTTGTTCCAGATTTGAGTTTTTAGTTAAACAAAGGTTTTACATATCCAGCTTATTTGTTTGCAGAGGATTGGTTCCTGGCTTCTCCCCAAAAAATAATAGGGCCCCGGAACACACATGGGGATTATGATGATTATGAAGAAGGGAATACTACCCCCCCCCCCCCCCCCCCCCCCATACATTAGAAGCAAACAAATGTTAGAGATCAACGTTTTGCTGAGTAGTAAAGTCGGCTGGCATAATGCTGACCATGTCACCCATCCAGGGTTAAAAGGTCAATAAAAATCTGAGTTTAGCCTCATATATCTGATGCGCCCTCTGCTGTGTGAAAAGACATTTTGTTTTATTTGAGATTGCCCATCTTCGTTTTGGATGGATCATTACGTCAGCGCATGCCTGCATATGGACATCACCTACCCACATGGTGTAGAAACCATCAGGTACCTAACTTAGGTAAAACATGTGACTAAGAGCCCACTCATAAAGTGATTTAATTATCTGATGGTCCACTGTAATAATTTAGCATATTTATACTGTTTTAAATTTGTCATGCCATATGTAAATTACTATATTTCGGTTTTACTTGCTTTGTGAATTTTTATTCTTTGACGTGTTATGGTTTTAATTCTGCCATCGCAAAATATTGTATGTTCATGCCATTTTAAATATGCTTTATAATTTTTTGGTTTACTTTCCTTCACATTGAAGGATTTTATGCTGATCTCGAACTTAGACCCTTGTAGCAGGTCAGAAGATTTTGGGTTCGGATCTGCAGCACATTGGAGTTTCAGTATTGATTGAGGACTGCCGGGTCAACAACCACCTAAAATGGTTATCAGGAAATGCCATAGGAAGTAAAGCTGGCCAGCATGATGTTGAACACACAACTGATTGACTGCCGAGGGGTCTATAAAGTGTGGGTTTGGCTCTATTTGTCCAGTGTGAAAGTAAGCACTGGATTTCTTTTGTGATTGTTTGTGTTTATTCAGTGGATCATCATGGCACAGGGTTTGAACCCGGAACTCCAGCACTCGAGGCGGATGTCATACCTCGAGACCTTTCAGTCTCCTAGAGTAAACTAAAGTAAAGGACCCTTTTCCACGCCTTTAGACGTATGGGGCACATAGGGCTAGACTTATATTTTATAGACCACTTGGCACAAGATGGGTGATGTGGTCAGCACACGGCGGCCGCCTTTACTTCCCAGGACTGCACCCAGTACCCACTCAAGGCTGGGTCGACCTGGAAGCCAAGGTCATTTTTGAAAAAAGTCCAGCTCCGCCAGGGAGCGAACCCACAACCTTCCGATCCACGGTATGTGTCTAGCCGCTCCGCCACGGTGACTCCCCAGTCTGCTAGAATTAAGATTATCTCAGATGATGGACAGATGTGTCATCATCTTCTAATTTTTAATTGATGTATTAGCAGATGTTAATGGATCCGTCATGGCTGGTTGTATAGTTGAGTTAACACAGTCCAGGACGTGCATTTGTAATCATTTCTTCTGATGTTGGTTTGTTTGCCATTTGAGAAAATTTTCTTCAATGGAATCAGTAACATTAGTGACACTTGTCTCTCATACTAGGGGTAACACAGTGATAGACCTAGAGGTTTGGAACAAGTAATGGAGGGGACAAATAATGAGAGAGGGGGAGAAAGAGAGAGAGAGAGAGAGGAAGACCTTGAGGTTTGTAACAAGTAATGGAGGGGACAAGAATGAGAGAGGGGGGAGAGAGAAAGAAAAGACCTCGAGGTTTGTAACAACTACTAATGGAGGGGACAAGAATGAGAGAGAGGGAGAAAGAGAGAAGAGGGGATACCTAGAGGTTTGTAACAACTTATGGAGGGGACAAGAATGAGAGAGGGGGAGAAAGAGAAGAGAGGATACCTAGAGGTTTGTAACAAGTAATGGAGGGGACAAGAATGAGAGAGGGGGAGAAAGAGAGAAGAGAGGATACCTTGAGGTTTGTAACAAGTAATGGAGGGGACAAGAATGAGAGAGGGGGAGAAAGAGAGGATACCTAGAGGTTTGTAACAACTTATGGAGGGGATAAGAATGAGAGAGGGGGAGAAGAGAGGATACCTAGAGGTTTGTAACAAGTCATGGAGGGGACAAGAATGAGAGAGGGGGGGGGGAAAGAGAAGATACCTAGAGGTTTGTAACAAGTAATGGAGGGGACAAGAATGAGAGAGGGGGAGAAAGAGAAGATACCTAGAGGTTTGTAACAAGTAATGGAGGGGACAAGAATGAGAGAGGGAGAGAAAGAGAAGAGAGGAGACCTTGAGGTTTGTAACAAGTAATGGAGGGGACAAGAATGAGAGAGGGGGAGAAAGAGAGAAGAGAGGATACCTAGAGGTTTGTAACAAGTAATGGAGGGGACAAGAATGAGAGAGGGGGAGAAAGAGAAGATACCTAGAGGTTTGTAACAAGTAATGGAGGGGACAAGAATGAGAGAGGGGGAGAAAGTGAAGATACATAGAGGTTTGTAACAAGTAATGGAGGGGACAAGAATGAGAGAGGGGGAGAAGAGAGGAGACCTTAAGGTTTGTAACAAGTAATGGAGGGGACAAGAATGAGAGAGGGGGAGAAAGAGAAGATGCCTAGAGGTTTGTAACAAGTAATGGAGGGGACAAGAATAAGAGAGGGGGAGAAAGAGAAGAGAGGAGACCTTGAGGTTTGTAACAAGTAATGGAGGGGACAAGAATGAGAGAGGGGGAGAAAGAGAGGAGACCTTAAGGTTTGTAACAACTAATGGAGGGGACAAGAATGAGAAAGGGGGAAAGAGAGAAGAGAGGAAACCTTGAGGTTTGTAACAACTAATCAAGGGGACAAGAATGAGAGAGGAGGACTGTACAGTTATTTATTGTTCAACTATTTATATCCATTTTCCTGTGCCTTTTTTGGCAAAGTGTTTCCATGGCTCATTCATTATCTTGACCAGGAGTGTACCCCTTTTACCACCTAGAGTCATTTAGATATTTATAACATCATTGTTGAATGAAGAATCAACATCACAGTATTCTGGACACTCCCATAAGCGTTCCATCCCTATCTTCAGCAGCAGGCAGAGAGTTCCAATTCCGATGGTACCAGTAACTGTCTAATTGTACATCCGCTTGCTGTATTTAGTTAACATAAAATTGTGGTTGCCTTAGCCGGGCCAGAGACAATAATTTCCTCAGGTCTTATATGGCATACGCCGGTGTGATGTTGACCACATTGATTACCCACCGAATGCCGAACTGATCTCTAGAAGTAAAGGTCTTGCCCAATGTGCCAAATACGCCTGAAGGTGTAGAAGAGGGATCTTTACTTCTTAAACTATATGGCATATGGGCTGACATTACCCACCCCCCAGATCTTGATTTTATCTTTGATACGTCTAGCATATCCCATCCCCCCCTTCCCCCTATATGTTAAACTGTTACACATGAGTCTTGCCTTGCACAAAAACAGCAGTTGGAAATCTGTGATGTTGAATGGTGGTGATTTATTTGGTCTTATGTGAGATTTATTAAGAAAAATGTTTTTTATGCTTTCCCGCAAACTTAACTCTTTGAGTCCCAGGGGGTTTAGCATCACAGGCCCAAGGGGTAGTGAAGGGAGACATAAAATTGGCATATCATGCATTCATTAGGTAGGAACCTATGAACGTATGATGCGTTCCTTGGGACTCAAAGAGTTAAATACATTTTTTAAAATGTCATTTCCAGATCTGATAGCTTTGAGAATGACAGTCTCAGCTGACTGGCCTGAAACTTGCTGTAGATGTTCTTGAGCATCTGATGCAGGGTGAACTAAGATAAATGCGGTACAGTGAATGTACTGCGAGGAGTTAACAGAGAATGTGGCCGACGCTCAACACTCAGGGGAAGGGTGAGACGGATATACAGTCAGACAGCTACTGGTGCC